ACCTCCTCCTGTAATATGTCTGTTAACGAGAGTAGAATTGGCATGCTGGGTGAGTGGGCTGATTTTCGGACTGACTCCTGTGGTGACCACTCTAGTGATGGGAATGCAGATTCCCAGCGATGTTACACTGCCAAGATAAGTAGTGTTTTGATGTCTGTCATAATGGCTTTATTTATGTAATATGAAGCTGTTAGAATCTTTTACTGGCTAACAGCCTGATGGCATGCAATTAATTCATCAATTTGGCAAGTTTGTAATACCTCACCTTATTGTAATAGTAGGCATTGGGGGCAACAGTGCTTTGTTGTTGTTGTTTTTACCCCCTTTGACCATTCGCTCAAAATGTTTAACAGGATGTTCATCCAGCTCTTTTCCATACAATGAAAGTGAATGGTAATGAGTGACTGTCAAAAATTAAGAAAAGCTTTATCGGACTGTATTCCAAGTCTTCTGAAGTACTACAAGAGTTTGTGAGAGGAAATTTAAGTACACTGTGGTTCTTAAATCTTATTAGTGTGTTTTGGTGCATCACGATCAATACAAAACATGCTGTTTGGCATAAGTAACATCAAACCTGACATGTCATATTTGAATATTAACGAACCTAAAGATTTTAGAGCTGCAGCAGAGGAGTTTTCTGAATTTCCTTTCATGGAACATTTCACAACACAAACATCACCCTCAAACACTCAAATACCAAAGACCAAAAAGACTCCATGAAAGTATGCACCAACTGAGGCTCCTGCAGCAGTTTAAAAGCAGAGACCCAAATCCCCATGTGCACTGAGCTCACATTATACCACCAACTCCGACAAATCAGACAATGTGACCCCATTACATTCCCCCACCTTCATTCTGCATGGATGACAGAACTGACACCCATGAAGCTGTAAAGGGCCAGTAGCTCCTGCACTAGAATAGAATGATATAAAATTCAGCACCTAAACCCAGAGTGAATGAACCATGCTGTACAATTGCCGATACAGAGTGCTGTATATGATATATTTTTGTAAGGCAGCCCAGAAGTTAGCATCACCCTGGTGTCCTCAACAAAAACCAGCAGGATTTTTCCATTGGATTTTGGAGTACTGCAGAAATGTTCACATTTTGTTCATCATGCTAATCTTCACAAATAAATATAACTTTTATGAATCTTGAAGCCTAAATATAATCAATCACCAGAAGTATAAAAGCTATACATACAGTACATTGCATGACTTCAATGTCATCATAATTAAGCTTCCGACAACACATTCAGTCTTTATTTTAAAACATTTTCCCCGAAAGTAAAACATTTTCCTTGAATAGTTTGCAAGAGTGTGCTTATAAACATAATGATGAGGCTATGAAATTATGAACAAATGGGCTTATGGAATGGAATCGGAAGGGCTAAAATACTAACTAGTTTCCTACAAAAATACGTCATTCCTGCAGCAGTCTATTCACAAACATGTGATATGCCAATATTATATAATAATAAT